AACATTGGGAAGGAAGGCGGAGGGCTCCCGTTCAGACGACGGCTTCTTTGAGCGGTCCGGATGGCGGCCCTGAGGCGTTTCCAAAGGGAGCAAAGGGCTCCTGAACTTCGCAGTCACAGAAGGCGTCGAACAACAGCTGCTCCTCCTTTTCCTTCACAACTTGTTTCTTGGCAAGAAAAAGAAACGGAAGAAGCGAAGAAAAACGAAAAAAAGTAACGAGAGAGGGCTCGGAAGAGCAGCTGGAAAACTTAACGAACAAGGCAGGGTGGTGGCTTAATAGAAGCCATTCCGTACAAAAATACGCCTTGCTAGGAAAGCTGACAGGGGAAACACTGATTTGTTTGAAATACAGTAGTACCGTGGACTGCCAGAAGGAGGAATAAGGGGGTCCTAGAGCAAAACAAGCCTGTACTGTCTCTGGTGGCAAAAATGATGAAACTGAGGCTCTCCTACTTTGGGCACATCGTGAGAAGGCACGATTCTCTGGAAAAGACAATAATGCTCAGAAAAGTGAAAGGTAGCAGGAAAAGAGGAAGAACAAATACAAGATGAATCGACTCCCTAAAAGAATCCACCAATTTGAGCTTACAAGAGCTGAGCAGAACAGTTAAGGACAGGATGTTAAGTCAGAGGTGACTGATAGCACATAACAGCTACTAAGGTGACTGCCCTGATACACCAAAGCAAAAGAGCACATGACAGTGGTCATACAGTTTATACTTCGTGGCATCTGTGATACAGTGGGGTCTTGACTTAAGAACGGCTTGAGTTAAGAACATTTTGACTTAAGAACCGCTCTCATAGGAAAATATTGACTTGACTTAAGTACTTAGATTTAAGAACTGAAAAAAAAACCACGTGGGAGGCAGGGAAAGTGCAAAATTTGAACTTTCAGTTAACTGTTGGCCAGTGAAAAGGGTGCCTGTCTGCTTCCTCGCTCTTCCCAGCGTTTAGAGGGTGGATTGGGAGACAAGTCTTCAGACTGCTTGGTACTGCCTGGACTGTATTTTCCCTGCCTTCCCTGAACCTTTCTTGACCTAAGAAAAAAAGAAACAAAATATCCCCCTCTAGTGGTCGAAGGCGGAATAGCAGCTTCCCATTAGTTTCTATGGACGGAAAAGAGCAGATACGGATTAAATGGTTTTCAATGCATTCTTATGTGAAATGCAGATTTGACTTGAGAACTTTTTGACTTGAGAACCGCCTTCCAATACGGATTAAGTTCTCAAGTCAAGACCCCACTGTAGATCTCTGCACAAGCCAAGTTTCAGGCTTCGGATCATGAAAAGCCTTTAATAATTGCAATAATTAACTGAGAAGTTAATCTGCAAAAAGCTAAAATAAAACATAGTTTTGGTGCTGCTGTGGGGACTCTTAAATATGAAGTCATTTAGGGTCTCAGGCATTTCATAACTAGAGATAGACACAAAATGAACCGCAAACCAAAAAGCACGATGAATTGAGCTAATTCATGGTTCATTTGATGACCCAGTTCAGGGATCTCTTTGTGTTGAAACAAAAAAAAAAAGCAAAACTTTTTTTCCCTTTGACATTTTGTTTGCTACAGCAAAAGGGGATGCCCACCTGCCCCCTTCCCGCTGGCCCCCTTACCTCAGCCTACCTGTGCTTGCCACCACCATGGTTGCCGTGCTCAGAAGCAGCAGGGCCCAACTTCCCTGCCAGGAGCCTTCTACTGCTTCTGAGCAAGTGCCCCAAGCAGAGGTGGCAAGAGCTGATAAGGACCCCTCGGGCACAAAGCAGGAAAAGGAACTGAGAATCAGTTTTTCTGAGAATTTGTGGTGGTTCATCGTTAGCCATGAACTATCACAAACTACCAGTTTTCTAGTCTCTGCCCATCTATAGTCATAACCCATAGTTATGACTATAGATGGGCAGACCATACATACTAATATAACAATAAACATAGATAGACCATACATACTAATATAGCAATAAACACACATAGTGTATGACCATCTGGAAGTTGAGTCATAGCAACTGGACTTCTTTCTTATTACGTTGAAACATTTCGCTACCCATCCAAGTAGGTTTTTCAGTCAGTGTATGGCTACATCTTAAAATGTTTGTTGCCCATACAATAGCCCCTATTGCCATGCCCTCACAAGTAGTCCACAGCTACGCCATGTGTATCTGCTAGAATTTTTCCAGAGAGAATAAGGTCTATACACACAGAAAGTGACATTTCTGGGAAACGTATACTCCCCTCTTCTTTACCGCCAAAGCTGACATTCAGTGTCAGCAGTGATTTCATGTTGTGCAATTATTTGTGAATTGTTGTATGTGAAGGATGAGGACTTTAGTCCTACACACATTTCCCTGGGCATGAACTCTACTTGATAGCTTTAATCCAGTAGTTCTGTTTCCACTATAGCGTACCCATTGAACTGGGGCTAATCTAGTAGATACGGACATGGTGGTGCTGCGGGCTAAACCGCAGAAGCCTGTGCTGCAAGGTCAGAAGACCAAGCAGTCATAAGATTGAATCCACGCAACGGAGTGAGCGCCCGTTGCTTGTTCCAGCTCCCGCCAACCTAGCGGTTCGAAAGCATGTAAATGCGAGTAGATTACAGTGGTGCCCCGCATAGTGAGGTTAATCCGTTCCGAATTAACCCTCGCTATGCGAAATCGTCGCTAAACGGGTAGGGGAAATGTATTGGAACGCATTAAACTTCGTTTAATGCGTTCCAATACCTTTGTTACTTACCCGTTCAGCGAGGATTCCAAGTGCCTGCAGCCATTTTCGCGCCTTCGCTAAGCGAGGGCAGGGCACGAAAACGGCTGCCGGCAGCCATTTCCGGGCTTCCGGCGGCCATTTTGTGTTCTATTTTAAACCCACGTGGAAGTATGAGTTTGAGGCCCATCTGCTACCGGCCCTAACCCAGATGATACAGAGCCTACCCACAGCATCCTTTCCTCCTTCAGACAGTTCCAGGAAGGAAGATTGTCTTCGGACAAAACGCTGGCTCTATGGCTTGGAAACGGGGATGAGCACCGCCCCTAGAGTCGAACACGACTGGACAAAAATTGTCAAGGGGAACCTTTACCTTTACCTTAATCTAGTAGAAACTTTGGTAAATCAGCAGTTACCCAAGTCACATTCATTCAACAGAACTACTCTAGTGGAGACTGTGATGCCCAGTTATATTTAAATGTATTGTGTTTATGGTTTGATAAGTATGTGATGAAAGGGGGTGGATGAGGAATTCTGCAAGGAAGCAAAGACCTTTCTCTTCGGGCAGGTTTTTCCTTAGTCTAGAAAACAATAAACTGGATGGTTTATAGTAGTTTCTAAATCAGTTACAGTATTTTAATGCTTTTACCTAACATTTTAATATAATGTTGTTAGTTCTTTAATATTTGAATATTACTGTTTTTATTTACTTATTTAGTTTTAATATTGTATTTTAGTAATGTAAGATACCTTGAGACCTTTTTTAGGAGAAAGGTGGGGTAAAATATTTCAAATATAAATTTTTTTAGGAGAAAGGTAGGGTAAAATATTTCAAATATAAATCAATCAATCAATGTTAGTAAGACTGGTTCTGATTAGATGGGAGAAACGAGGGAGGCTGGAGCGTTGGTGAGGTTGGTTGGGCAGTCTTGAGTCTGATATAGGACAGTCTGGTGTAGAGCAGGTGTCTTTTTGAGTACGGGGATCTGAGAGAGAAGTCAGAGAGAGTAGTATATGAGAAAGATTGCGATGAGGAGAAAGAGGTAAAAGAGTGTGTGAAAGATTATATTACATGAATGTAAAGCCTAGAAATAAACAACATTCTTTTAGCACTGTTATTTTAATAAAAACTCATTTGTTCTATTCAAGCTGAATGGTGCCGAATTCAATATTTGAGGGCTGATTATGTGGAAGGCGTTATAAGGACTGAAAATGAGATTCTTTGTTTGCTGCAATGGGCAAATAAATCACAGCAGATAAACATGCCACAAGATCCATGGAATGAAAACACAATACAAAAGAAATAAGAGAAAGTCAGTGAATTTATGGCAAGATACATTACAGTGATGAAATTAAAAATGTAAAAGTCCAGAACAATCTGGATTTAAGCAGCAGATGAAATTATAGTTATCCAAAATGAGCCACTGTTAGCATTTTAAAAAACATTACATTTGTCCCTAATCATCCACTAGTCCTCTAGCTGCAGTTTGCTAGGCTCCCAGCTGTTTCTCAGTCTTTGGACAAAAGATTAAGAAAGAAAGATGTGTAGCTACCTATTTCATGGAACAGGTTCCTGAAGTTTCAGAGGGATGTGCAGAATAATTTATCTAGGAGAACTCAGATGGGAAAAATCAGAAGGAACATGTAAAATATAGTAGTGAAGTCATGGGTGAGCAAGTGGGGGATAAATAAAAGAAGACAGTAAGGGAGATGTACAGTCTCCCAGAAGGAGTAGTCTAGCCCATGGTAAAAACTGAAGCTTCTCTCTGAATCAAGACAAACTAAGACCCAAAGGCCCATCAAAATCTGCAAAACTAAACATTATATGAGAAAAAGTGAACTGAAAAGCATCTGCAGGTAAGTATAACTCTGAATTCCTTTCTCCCAAGCAGCAATTGCTCTCTGTTCCACTGATGCTTCTAATTATTGTGCATTCTGGCTGGCCTCCTTACCTTCACCCCTAAAATTCAGTTCTGTATTGGTAGTTGTCAAAAAGTGCATTGCACAACCTTTCTTTATTCCCAGAAAGTAAGGGAACAGTTAGATTATTAAAATGAAACAGGAGAGGTTTTGTACTCAGTTTAAAAAGTCATGTGGTTTTGAGGTTGATGTGTGTGTCCTGTGGGAAAACTTTAAATTACAGTTTTAAAAACTTTTA